AGTACATAAATATAATAAATTAAGCTTAACATTTTTTAAATATAATATACAAACTATATAAATATAGATTGGATCAATTAATGCATTCTTTAATATTTCCTAGAAATTATTATTTAGAAAAAGATTTAAATGCACTTAAATATTTCACCTTTAACCGATAATGTCTTATTAATTATAAAAAATATAAATATAATATTTATGAACTTTTTCATTATTTGTAAAAAATAATAATTTATAGGTTTATTGATCATATAGATTCAATGAACTTTAATGAATATTCAATTAATTAATAAATATTATCATAGATAATCTACTTTTAAAAGATTTTTAATTTTAGATGGAAAAAATATCAATTTGTAATTATTCATTAAAGCGTTATTAAATGAGCGTTCAAAACTAAATTAGAGAAAAAAGAAAAAATATCTTATTGATTAAACTATACAAGTATTTTTAGAGTATGAAGGCAATCATAAACTAAAAGCTTTATCAAATTTCATCCTATTTAGCATTTAAATTTCCCGCCGTTTTCTGCTAACTACTATAAGCCAGTAAGACTTAGGCAATTGCAAAAGATATATTGATGAATATATAATTCATCGGTCTTTTTAATGTAAACATGTGTATGTTTATTGTTATGTTGTTATTGTTATATTTATGTATTATAATCGAAATATAAAGCACATTACAATTTCGATTAGGGAATAACAAAATTTTTAAGAAATTTAGGTTAATTGAATTTAAATTAATGATTGAGCACAATTGAATATAGACAACAAAATTTATCATTGAATTTACTTTGTTCATTTTTATAGATTCCAAAATATTGTTTTGATATGTATAGAATTTATATTGTTATTTTTTGTAGTGTTATTTTTTGTATATAAACTCTATTGCGTTTAATATTAAAATATTTCCAATTAAGATCGGATATGGTGATAAGTGCAGAAGTTTGAACTCTTATACAAATAAACATATTCATTCATATATGTACAGTTCTATGTATTCATATGTATCATTGCATGCATACGATAAACTAATTCATTATAATTTAATATGATATAAACTAATGCAATGATTTCGCAACCTACAAATATGCATGCATACGTAAATAAAAGTGTAAATACGCACGCGCGTTTAGCAACGATAAATAAAAACAGAAATCGAAATACTCGTATTGTTATCATGTATTTCCAGAAGATGCTAATGTAAAAAAAATGCCCTTACTTAATGCAGATTTATCAACTACTTGTTTTATGGCTATTATAAAAATTTAAGAATGTAGGATTTTTAAATGTACTCGAAGTAGCATGCTAAAATATTTATTATAGCATAATAATAGCATACGAAACTATTGGTAAGTGATATAGATGATTAAACTCATTAATCTATTAATAAAATAATCTATTTGAAATAAGAATGTTAAAATAAAAAGAAACTACCTAGCATAGACGTAATAATTAAATTATCTATCGAAGCCTACTAAACTTAATCATAATAAACAGCTGACCTATTAATAATTTATTAATAAAAATCAATCCTACTTAAACGTTTAAAAAACAAACCATATCTGCATTTACATATAACGTGAGTACTTGCGTAATTAAGGTGTAAGAAGTGAAAGTGATTCTTTGAAACAAACTAACAAACGCTATTTTCTTTACATTGGAACTTTTAACTGGTTTTTCGAAGAAAATTGTATACATATTGCAATATTCTATAAATGATATTTGACTCGTTTAAATTCCTTATTTTAATTCCTAAAAGTATCTAATTACATATCATAATAAAGATAGATTAACGAAACAAGCCTAAACAACTACATAAGCAAAGTTGATGACAAACTCGATTCTAGAGTTGTACAGATATATTATGCAAAGCAATTGTATTACAGATATATACATTTTTTGTTCAATAACTAATATTTCTTTTAACATTTTTTATCAATAATTAAAATATTAATATTTTTAACAATTTATCCAATATTTTAGTTTTGTTAATTTCATTTATGATCATTCAATTTCGAGTATTTATATTTTTGTTTTTTATATTAATTATCCATTACATTAACGAACTAGAAAAAAAAACTAAAATAACTATATAATAATAATCATTTGCTATTGCTAATAACTCATTTGCTCTCTGTTACTTTCTTACTATTCATCGTAGTATATTATTTTTTACCTCTGTATATTTTATGTTCCCTTTTTTTGCTTTCTTGATGCTTTTCTATTATTTTCTCATATTTATTTATATATACGGATATATATATATATATATATATATATATATACATATATATATTCCAAAAATTAGACAGATTAAATAATGAATAAGAGACTAAAATTTAATTTAAAGTTCTGTGGATGAAATAACTCGTTAAAATGCGAAACTAGATGAGTATTACAGTGATTTAATAATTCAAATAGTTATATATAATATTGACAAGTAAATGAAATATTATAATAAAATTTTTAGTTCCTAATATGTAATATATCTTAATGTTATTTCTTTAAAAATTTCTATTATTAGTAAATTTATTATCTTAGAAAATTTGAAATTATTTCTACTTTTCCCTACCGAAAGGAAAAATTTTTTATCTAAAATTGTACAGAAATTGTATAAAAGTTTGTATTTCTGAAAATTATTTAATTAATTTTAGATTGTTCATAGTTATCTTTCTACAATATCACCAGCAATATTTTCCAAAAGATCCATTTACAAATTTGAGTATAGTTTATTCAAATATTTACATTAAATCATTTTTAAAGAAATAAATAAATATTATATTGCACAAATATATAACAATAATACAAAAATATAATAAATATAAAGAATAAATATTTATGGTTTTAAAAAATTTATTAAAGTATTAATCAAATATTAAATTAAAATTGAATAAATAACAGATCATTTAATATTAAATATTTTCAATCTTAAATTTTGTATTTGAAATCATCAGTTATTTGTCAACGCGTTCTTTTAGAAGTTTTAAAATCATGGATCAATGCAACCATTAAATTATAAAAATAAATATAAAATTAAAATCTTTATTAATTGATTATAATAATTTTATTCATTAATACTTTATTTAAACAAAAAAATAGAAATATCTATTATCTAAAAATAATAACTAGATATTTTTTTACAATACTTCTTATATAAAAAGCGTAATAAATAATACACCACATTATGTAAAAGCTATTTCAACGTATATAATAATATATCTAATATTATTTTTAGCTATAACAAAACTACTTATTATCTATAACTCAATCCTATTGTATTTGAGATTCATTGTGTTCAAGAAAATGATTTATAATTTTTTCTAGAATCCTGGGAAATCATTTAATTGCTATTTTTTAATATTAATTCGGTACTTACATAATCTATTAATATTATTATTAAGATAAAATTATTTAAATATGGGTTTTGTGATTTGATAATAATCAGAATTGATATTCTTGTAATAAAGTTCCAGTAATTTTTTTTTATCATTTATTATAGAAAAATATTATGTTAAAAAATAAAAATGCTTTTAATAACAGGATTTATCTGATATCTTAAACTATTCATTAGGTACATTTATTTTAGTTCTAAATAATAATTAGAATAAAGTAAATAATCGAAAAAATTTAATCATGTTGATATTTATTAAGCATCCTGATTTTAAATAACATAGCAACACTATAAATAATAAATTATATTTATATTCATATTCTATAATAAATTAAAAATTTACATTTTGTTTACATATTAGTATTTACAGTTCCTTGTTTATGAACAGTTCCTTGGTTCCTGTATATGGTTTGAAAATATAAACTTTATGGTCAATAATTTATAAAATTTCGGAACCATAGTATTATAGTTAGTGTCATCTTAAATTAGACAGAATTATATTATACTGTTACTATGAAGTGACATATTTTGTGTAGTCTGTATGTATAAAAGAAACGAGAAATTTGATAATATTTTTGTAATAAAATTCGCAGTGCAGTTTAGGTACATAAAATGTTTATAAAGATTTAACAGTATTTTATGTTTTTTATTGCATACAACATTAAAATATAATACATTGCTTTATTTTACTAATAAAATTTTAAATATAAAATGATCAAAAGTTTTCCCAATCATATTCTTATTATATAATATGTTAATTGTCTTCATATAGAAATAAAATAAGACTTAATATAATATGCAATTATTTTTATACATTGTTCGTATATAAATTTATTCTTTTAAGATTTGTTTTGATAGTTACATAAGTGAAGGGATATATATTCCTTTATAAAATTATTCGATAACGTATGCATTTATTAGTTCTATTAAATATAAACAAAATATTTAAATAAATAGCATAATTTATAACATTTTAACAAATTAAGAAATTATTAATTTTATAAATTATATCATTTTGATTTTGTAGAAAATAAATTGAGTGTTGATATTTTGATTATTTTTATACAATATAATTTTTAAGTATAAAAAATAATAATAATGATGCACTCAATATTTTATAAATAAAATTTAATAATTGATATGCTTAAAAATATTTAAAATTAAATAATTTAAAAAAATTTGAATATCCTATAAATTTAGTAATTATATAATCTATTAATTATCACGTGTTGGTATTATTTGCTTAGATTTCTTGTAAAAATCATAATATGTTATTTTATCAAATATATTATTATCAATATTAACAATTATATCGCTGATAGTGAATATAATTTTAAATTTAAGTATACTCTAGATAGAAGAAAATTATGTATATTTATTTATCTTTTTACAAGTATATTTTTATGCATAGTTTTTTTAATAAATCTGACTGAATAATTTAAAATACTATTCATAAGCAATTACAAATATAATACAAATACATATTTTTATAATTATATTCAACTAAAACAAATCTTAATGCGATTAATATACTGTTTGATAATGTTGAAATATTTTTTCAAAAATATAAGTATAAAGTAGTCTTTTATTATTAAAGTCTTGTGCATTATTTTATAAGTGATACTAATGATGAATAAATATAAGGCTTTTCAACTTATACAGTACATTGAATTTAGGATCTAACTTATAGTTGTAAGAGAATTTCGCTAGGTTTCACTATAATTTTTCGAAGGTAAATTTTCCAAGCTCCTTTTTAATGGCAGCGATAAATGATACTGCAGAATCTTCAGATTGCAGCTGTGAGTCGGCTAGTACTCGTACAACCTCGACTTCGGGGAAGGTGGGCTTATGAAAGGGTCCGGCACTTAGGGGGCAAGAACCCCAAGCTCCCCGAGGGTGCGGACCCATGTACTCCGATTCAAGAATATGCTTATATATGTTGTTACGCGGTACTGATATATGAGACCGCAATGTTTCCTCGAATGTTGGTGCCACCTCTTCACTGCAATAATTCGTAATTGCAGTTATACGGTTCATATTTTATTTAAATATGATTTTCATTCCATGAATAAAATAGCATATTTATTATAATAAATATTTGGTAAGGCGATGTCGTGTCAAGTGGGATATTCTTAATTAAGAAATGTAAAAAATTTGTTTGAGAATAGCTTAAAAAATTTGAATTACCAATAACATTATGATTAATCTTTACATTTCATTAGCTTATTTTGAATGCAATATATTGTCGAAAAATGGCTTAGATTAAAATTTCATTGCAGACAGAAGGTTGGTTTTATAACATTAAAATTAAATTTCGTTGATAGTGAATTTTTATTTTCCATGAAGCTCACATCAGGTAATTGTTAGCAATCAAATTTCTATATAATTTTCACTTGTTCTTACTTAATCGTTAGATCAACGACAGATTTATCATTGCCTAATGTAAAAAGATTACTTACCTTATGTATACGATCTTTACACGACTTTCCGAATCAAGGGAATACCATTGTAGTGAACACCTGGCATCGGACTGTTGTTGTTTTTCGCAAGTCGATTGTTGCTTTGTCTCTCGTACTTCAACCCGACCGGAGGAATCCTCGAAAAGTTCGTTGAGCCGCTTACGCGCTCGTCCCACAGGCCCTTGAGGCACGACCTCAGATTCCAGCTTTGCTGGCGTTGGCGCGATATTGCCTTTACATGGGTCACATCTTTTCAACGATTGAACTTCTCAAGCTCCACTGATTTATCTCAATAACGCATGCGAAAACATGGTCAAAGCGTTCCCCATTTCTTTTCGTTTATATTTCACCAATCGAACAATTGTTTAATATCTTCGTTTATACAACCAATATAGAATACTTTGACTATGCTTACGCTTAATATACGAATCGATGATATCGATATTGTTAAAAAATTAATTAAAAAAGTTTAAAATATTGATTAATTTATAACCCATACCTTCCACAGCTCTTTTTCTTTTCAAATCCCACACGATGGGCCCCAAGACTCCGGGATCTTTACCGGCACTCAATGTTCTTGAAAAACCATAATCATTTTCTTTCCCAAGATTATAGCCCCTTGCTTGTATTTCAGGAGGTTCAAACTCTACATCTAAGTTCTTCATCTTGATAATATGAAAATTGGTTATTTTTTTATGGCTATGTTCAACAACGTATTCAAAATTACAATATATTTTTAATTGAAATATAATACTACGATAATGATTTTATTGTTGCTATATCGTATTACTATATATTAGATTACTTTTGTAATAGCAGGTGCACTATGTTTCTATGAATCTATAAATATACACGTATAAAACATACGAAATGTGTATATAAAATTGTTACTTAAACTGAAATATGCTAATTTATTTTGAAGATAATAACGATTATTATTTTATTTTTAAGCATAATATCTTTAATATTTAATTATATATTGTAATTATTTTTAATACTTTTTAAACAAATACCAAAGGTCATTTAATACATTTTGTTTTTTTTTTAATACTTGGTTTATGTTGGTATCTTTGATCGTGCCATCCAAGATATTTTATCTTACAATATTTTATATTTTTCTATATTGTACATTATTAAGATTTTGTTTACTTCACCTCTAAATGTACGTTAATTTAATCTTGTATTAAAAATTAGAATCATTAGAATAAAAAATTAGAATCATTAGAAATATCTTCATTTGAATTTTTGCATCCATAATGTGGAAATCAATCGATTAGATAGATTGCTATTCATTATGGTATATAGTACGTTATAGAGTACGATTAAAATCTTGAAACAACATACAATGGTGGATTCGAGGACCTTGGAGAGTGGTTCGACGCTTCTCATACTTGGGAACTGTTTACACGAAGGCATGGACAAATAAGAGTATGGCGATCCCATACTTTCTTCAAGCACTTCTTCAGACAACAAGCTCTTTTCTAAAGGATTGAGATTATCGATTTGAATTCCAGTCGAACCAATAGACTCCGGACTTTGCGAATCATTGACGATATTTGCCCGCTGTACATGCCTAAATACGAGCAAGGGCACAAAATCTTAATTATTAATAGTACGTAGTTATTGCCCCATTCTTTATTCGAATCAGTCAGTAATGGCTATTACCCAACGTATAAAATAAATATCAATAGAATAAAATTTAAATAATTTTCTTTCTGTTATATATTAATATGAAAATGAAAATAGCTTTATAAAAATTCAAAATATAAGTTTTAATATGAATTATTAATTCATAAATAGAAATTTATTTCATTAAATTAGTATTATTAAATATTAAATATTAGTACATATATAGAAGCATTATGTAATAGTCGCATTATGTAGTAGGATTATGTAAGTTATATAAATAATGTTTACAATGACTTACAGAACACTTTTAAATAAAAATATTTGAAGTAAAACAAAATTAAAGAAACAAAAAGCTATTATTAAATGGATCGAAGGTAGTGCATACGTACTCTGGTCTGGAAATTCCAGTGTAGTTTTCCGTATTCCAGGATTCAACATGTTCCTGGCGTCTTTTCAGTTCTTCTAGATTATTTTCTCTGGTAGCATCGCAAACATTTTGTTTGGCGGTATTCTGGAAATATGACTTTGAATAACCTTTGTAAGTCTAAAGTATTATTATATATTATTGCTTTATTGAACTTGCAGATCATTAAATTTTGTTATGTTTCTATTTAGTTTTTTTAAGCTTTGTGTTATTTAAGCTTTTCTATCATCACAGAATTCTTTGTTTTCAATGAATAATAAAACATGTTTTCAGAAAACAAATTTAAAATCTGTTTTTATATTTACAGTTACATTTTTTATATTAATTATTTACTTTAATTAATGTGAAAATAAAATTTCATAAAATTTTGAGAATAATAAACATAACTTATCAAAGAACATATTGTACATAATGTTTGCATTAGAACTTACATAAATATTATCATTGACAATAAATAATTCTCTTTCTTCGAATTTCCAATAATAAATTAAGCATAAGTAAACATACACGTCTCTCGGTCTCAGCAATGTAGGCGGTATTGTCAACATCAGAAGTCATTGGAGCATATTCCTCGTCCTTTATAAGTATTTTATGATTGGGCTGTATAACACCGGAATCCTTAGCGTGCTTGTGTTTGGTGAGAACAAAGAGACCGAAAACGATGATGAGTAACAGGAATACGCCGAGGGAAGTCGCCCCGACCAGTAATAAGGCGTCTCGCTTCTTCGAGAGCGCTAGAGGACGAGATTCTTTTAGATAGGCTGTAATTAACACATATGCAAAATGAAAACATTTTTAATGATTTTAATACTACGGTTCATTTTAATATGAGGCGAATAATGTCTATCAATATGAATAATGGAGGTGAGATGTATTAAAGATAAAGCCGTAATATTACATTAATTTCATAAATGATAATATTATGATACAATAATGATACAATATGAATTTTTAATTAACAAAAATTAAAATATTATTGTATTAATTACATATTTCTAATATACAGAGCATTCCCACTTATTCTTATTTTTGGTAGTGTAGTACCAAAAACATACAAATTCTATCACATGTCTGAAAAGTATAAAACTTTGTTTCTTTAAGATTTTTACATATAAAGAAAATAGATTTTATTGATATTTAATTTTCATACTAAACATACATTAGTTGTTAAATATGAAAATCTATATTTAAAATAATGTTCCACGTTAATATTTTCACACTATTATAAGCAATTTTCAAGTTTAATACGACTTTATTACTTTTCATATTAAATTATTTATTAAATTAAATACTTCATTGAATGTATAAATTTTTTTCAGAAAAATGTAAATAACTTTACCATTAAAATAACAATTATTTAATCGCGTGTACACAATATGAACTATTATATGAATTTTTTCTTTATATTCATAAAAAAGTTATTTTTTTATTTTTTGTAAAATTTAATACAGAGTAAATTTATTATTTCCATGGCATCAAACGAATTAATTTTATCCAAATTAATTTTGTTTTAATACAATAATAGTCTAATTATAATGGCAATTATGTGTATATTAATTATTGATTTAAAATATTTAATAAGAAATCAGGCAGAAAATTGCATTATCTTTTTTATGAATTTCACAAACAATAAATATCAATATAGTTAGTCAATAACATTGACTGTTAGTGTTTAATATAAATAATATTGCCTATCCCAATGAATATTAATATCTTATAAAAGATCTGTATGCTTGCATAGTTAAAATATCCCTTGCCCTCGTGTAAAAGAAAATAGATAAATAAAATAATGACTTACGTTCACTCTGGATGAGTACAGGTGTACCAAGTTCGAGAGCAACCTCCTGGGCAGAGAGCAGCGCCATGTCCTTGGCCGCGGTTTCTGCTGGCACAGGTTTGCCGCCGAGGTGGACCGTATAGATGAGCTTCGTGGCGCCGGTCTCCATCAGAGAGGTGTTATGCATACGCACCTGGACGAGACCGACATTGACGTTGGAGACTGGTTTAGAATGCGTGTCATTCCGACTTTCGAGTTCCACCAAGAGTGCTCGCCTAGCCTTAGCTATGTGCACGGGTCGCATACGTAATAGTGAGACTCTCCGCACTGACGTCCTATTCAACCATATCCGTGATGCTGAGTTTGTTGTCTTATCCCTTATCTAAGGTTAACGTATGCGTCAGCGAGTAGGAAGGTATGCATTTTTTGCGCAATCGTGCCTCGCGCTTAGAACGGATTGTGATGTCTGAATATCATCTGTGTCGCACGTTTATTAGTCAATCAATCATAAATTTAACAACTGAGACACACTACGGGTGAACTAAAAAAATCAAATCGAATACAAATTTAACGTTTATATTATAAAATGAATATATTGACTTACAATTTCATTTACAAAGTGTATTTGAATTTAATTTTATTACAAAATCAATTAAAATTTTCGCAATAATTCAATCAGGTTATAATCAAATGTACATTATTGTTCGAGATTGCAAGGCCTTTTTCAATGCAATATAACATCTGGCAAAACAACATCGTAAATTTGTGTTTAGATTTCAAACTTTCTGGCTCGCAACTATCTAGCAATAGTGTCATAAAACATCTGGAAAAACAAAACAATAAACACGGGAAAAACCCACTCTTTAGGCATCTGTACGAATTCGTTCCGCTCGGTCCCCCCTCCCCTTTGCCGTTGTCTACAAGTTGTCATGCTGTCGCCAGATGCGTCAGCGACAACGAGAGCTCTTCTTGCCGAAAAGGCCAAGAGACGACTACGTCCTTAATTAACTATGAAGCCAAAAGAGGCGCTGCCTTCGCTCTGTATGGGTGGAGTCTCTGATTGGACGAAGAATAAGGGAAGGGGTTCAAGTGAAATTCATGGTCAGCAAATGTATTTAAGGGGCGGATTTTTCAATACTCATCACTCTTGATATAACACTCTCGATATAACTCTCAATGCAGTGCTTATTCAAATAAGTGAAGCGGAAGTCCATTAACGCTGCGAAGGGAACAGTGCTTACACGTCCTAGAGGAACGACGACATACACTCATATGTCCACTAACGTAGTTCAAGAAACCGTCGTTACAAGTTCAAAGGGAGCAACGACAATCCGCATATCAGAGTCCGAAGATGCTGGCAGTTTCCTATTAACGCAGTTCAACACAGCTATCATTACAAGTCCTATTGGCGGGCGACGCATTCCAACGACAAGTGTCCAGTGACAAGCCCCCTTATAAGAAGAAAGAACAAGGAGGTTCCCATTTTAAATAAACCAGCAGTCTTCGTAAATAATATTATTATTACCATAATTACATACTTTGAGATTCAGAGTATTACATCGACAAGCAATCAAGGGCGAAGAAGCTCTCCCCAGAGCAACAGTGCGGAACAGATTCCAGTACGCGTCGTCAATTTCGCGCCCGCAAAAAGGGCGTCTTTTCGGCAACCCTCACCTTCGTTCAAGTTCGGACGCTTATGAAATTAAGCAACAAACAGCGCGAGTGTCGACGAATCAAGCTTCGCGCCGCTCTGCGGTAAAATTCAATCATTACGCTGCATCCGTAACCTCAACCACACACGTGCTCATTCAAACAGCGCTAGTGTCGACGAATGAAACTTTGTGCCATTCTACATTCACATTCAAACAATCGAGCTGCATAGATGAGTATACGTTTTCCACTGCAAACACATCACTTCAACCCAAGAATTATTTCAATTATTAATAATATTAATACTAATCAACCTTGACATCAATAAATAACAGAATAAACAGCATATACATCAGCCATACTTGTATTGTATTATTATAATATTCCTTCCACTTGTGACCTTTCATCGCTACCACACAACACCCGTGGTCTCTGAGTTGTCAACGGCATCAAATTATATCCTTCGAACCGGCCTTGGTAAAACAAGCCGGAACGGCGAATACATTTTGTACAATTATATATACATATATGTTATGTATTTTGTATAATTTTTTAACGTACTATTATTCATAATGTATTAAATTATATATTATCTAATTAAAAGCCAGTATAATAAAAAAAAGACAATGTGGTTTTAAAAATCTCAATATTTTTATGATTTTTAAAATTTAAAATATAATTTTTTCACTATGTTTTAATATAACAATCGTGAAATGTAACACATAATGGTAACAAAAAATTTTAGTGTTATTGTCAATTCTATTAACATTCTGAAATAATGAGATGATACTATACAGATAAATTATTAAAGTATAATATTTTAAAATATAACAAAGAACGATAGAGATGTATTTGGGTTATTATCCAAAATACAAAATTACCTTCAAATCTCCCGTCGTTTGATTCTGCGTGATGGTTTCACGCTTAGAAAAGCTGTTACGCACATGTATTTCAGGCAGTAGACCTAAATGTTTTTGCTGTTGTCTAGTAAAAGCTGCTTTGTAAAGTCTAGCTAGTCGAAGCTCAACTTTTGACGGAACGCTTTCTCCTGCTTTCAATACCGTCAATAACCAATATCTGCAATGATCATGACTTGCGTTAAGCATGACAGTAAAATTATTTTTAAAACTAGGTCGAAGCTATCGTGTACTTATAATTTTTTTAGGGTAATTCAGTATTTTTATTACAAATAAAAATTGAGTCTACGATGATACATCTTCCAGTAAAAAATTAAAAATTTATAATATAAATATGTATGTATTTCGAGCAAAATAAAGTTTGATTTGATAGTAAATTTCATCATTTTATACTATAGAAACTTTAACAAAAAATATCTTTTTCATTGAATTTTTTTAAATTTAATAGTTACTATTTATTTGAGTATTATTATAGTTAATAAATATTAATATATATAATATAATATTATTTACACATTCACAAATCGAAATACACCTTTTGAATTAATAAAAGGTATTGTATACATAATGTCGAATGTATTATATCTATAATAAATAAAATATGTTGAGTCAACAATAGTTACTACAATTTTATTTCTATTCAAATGAATAATTTAACCAATAGTATATAAAGAAAATAAGTTTAACCGTGGTCCAGGATCGTTATCAAGTAGCATATTAACGTTTTCATTAACGTTGTCAATGAATGTGGGTGTCGGTTTAATGCAAGAAACACATTCCAAAGATTGGTGATTGTGCATATCTCCCATTTGCTGCTGGATTGAATCCTCTGTTACATAAATTGTCGTCGTATGTTGAATCGTGTGTGTCTTATAAAGCGTGATAATGGGACTTAGCCACGTAGGTGTGTCCTCCGCAGCTGTCCAGAAAAAGTCTTGAAGATGGACGCGTCGTCCTGGTAAATGCTCAATCAGTATAATTTCATCTTCTAAGAACCGAACGTCAGCGGTGTGTATCGATTTGTAACAAAACATAATCCTTATTAGAAATATCAATATAATCTTTCTAAGATTTTGTTATAATGTGTTAAATTTAGTACAATGATTAAATAAACTATTTTCAAAAATAAAACTGCAACATTACGTTAAAACATGTTAATTTAAATTCTATATCTTACTAATTCTATTTATATAATAAAGAAACAAGTAAATATGTTTAAATTGTGTATACCAATTACATTAGATAATCCTAATACTTCTAACGACAATATGATGATTAATATTTTCATAATATTCAAATCCAATTATATGTTTTGAAATTTAATTTATTATTTAATAAAATATTTTAAAAATATTATTAACGCAATAATGATTTCATTAGCATTTCATTATATTCAATATTAAGTATAAAAACGTTTTGTAACAGATTATTGAAGTATATATAATTAACAACTCGGTTTATGTATATTATTATCTAAAATTAATTAATTTAATATCAATTTTAAATTACATTAATTTCAAATTTAAAAGATGAAATATATTTTTAGTAAATTTGTATCCAGTTTATTTTTTATGTTCATTCGATCGCATCATAAATACTCAAACAAATATATGTATATATATATATATATATATATATATACATGTTACATTACACATATGACTATACTTTCACTCTAGCAAAGACCTTGATGTATTAAAAAGAGTTCAATGTAAATAATAATGAAGTAATTTAAGTTTCAATGAAATATGTAATTTAAAAAATGCATTTAATTTTCATAAATTAAATTTTATTTTATTTATATTTGTTGTATAGTCACTAAATTTTTTTATTTAATTAATGCATTAATAAAAAGAGAAAGAATAATATATTTGCAAATTTTGTTTTGATTATAATGATTTTTAGTTATATGTATTACTCAAGATATTAAATATTAAAATATATTATGAATAATAATTCGACGAACAAGATATCTACGTAAAATTATTATGTAACTTAAAATGTTAACTATTTAATTATTTTAATTAATAACAAATGCATTATACTTATTACAAATTCATTGAGTAACCTGATATTATTTTTGTTAGTCACTAGACCTTGAAATGCATATGAAGTTTTTAAATAATACATATTAATACTTTTTAATTTCTACAGTGACTCTATGTTTGATATACTTTATCATATAATTTTAGTTATAATGATATTAAATTGAAAACTAATTAATATAATATATAATATATTAATTATACATTAAAGTTTATTTTAAGATAAATAAGGAGTTAAGATTCAAATCTTTTAAGATACATTCATACTTTTCATGTTTCAAAGATTAAAAATTAAGCAGCGATCTGTCATTGAACAATTCGTAGTTACGGAAGAAGTGATAAATACGAATAGAATATAAAGATGAAATCACAAACAAGAATACAATATATATATTTAAATTAAAAAATGATGACATGGTAATTAATAGTACTTATAACTTACACAAAAAACAGATACATAAATTAGAAATGATAAATGTATTTAGCATACACAGCATTGTTCAGTATTCGAATACTGATAAAAACGGACAGTATCGATCTGCTAAGTATCAAATGTGTCAAATATATAAACTTCAAGTCTTAATAGTCTGCTTACTAGTGCAAGGTGAGCTAAAAGTTAAAAATTTTATTTGACATCGGAAAACAAATGGTGTGTGCACCTCCCTTTTAATGATCCATTGTTTTTCCTAACTCGCAGGTCTAACCTAATTCCACGGTCTGCTTACTATTTCCTGGTCGGAAGTACCGCAAACGTTTGAATATAATTTCTCAGTTGAATCAGTATTTCATAAATTTTATGCAAAAGTAACTTTTTTGTATAGCTATCAATGATTGTTTTATGGCTCAATGTTGCTAATGATTTTTTGTTAAGATGTTTCAACAAATGCGATCGTAACTTTGGCTTCTACGCTTCGTGTTGAATCATAATTACCATATAGATATATATAATAAAAATCAATGGCTTTTCTTAATTTAGTCACTTTTTATAAATGTGCAACATCTTTTCAACTTCTCTAAAAAATGTTAATGTATAATAAGTATATTAAATATAATAAATAACTTATAGTAATGGAAAATATGAGTTATTTAGTTATTTATTCGATACATATGTACATATGATAAAATATAAACTTATAAACTTATTACATATATACGTAAACTCTTGCATTTTCGGTATATTTAACACGAAATGTAAGTATTAAATCAATAGAAAACTGAGTTTCTATGGTAAATGCTTGGAATTATTTTTAATACTATAAATCCTTTTTAATCTCAACATATTAATAACAAACTATGAAAATCTTTTATTCAACATTCTCTGTATTTAGACAGTTGTAAAAATACTTATAATAAAAGCCAATTATAAAATAAAGCTTTATATGATAAATGTATAATGGATTGTAATTGTAAATATATAAATATAGAATTTATTCAAACTATACTTTTCAAAACCAGCAAAGAAACAGTAAAACTATAATTTATGTGGTAAGTACTAGTATTAATAATAATACTAATAACATGAATAATATTACTGTTAGTACAAATACTGCTACTTAGGTAGTCATTTTATATTATCACTTATTTTCATCATTAACAAGAGTTGAATATCTTTAATATTATAATCATTTAATAGCTTAATAATTAATACACAATTCATTTAAGTCATTGTTTAAATATGATTTAATAATATTTTCAAGGAATAACTATATAAAAATAAATTTATAAAAAGAATCTTCTATTAATTATTAATAAAAATCTTAATATATCTATGAAAGCTTACAAAAGGTATACACCAATAAGAAGATTTGATATACCAATAGCTGTAAATATTGAGTCAGTCGAGATAAAAGGAAGTAAAGTTATATAAGCTAAACAGCTTTTTTATTCTATAAATCATCATATAGAATAAAAACGGAAACTAACTAGAGGATAAATTTATATATATTAAACTACTATTAATATTTTAGTTAAAGGACTAACTTGAAGATACTCTAACTTTAAAAATCTAAATGTCTGGCACTTGTTTCGTGACTGGGGCACCTATATATGCTTTCAAGCATCATCACAATTGATGAGCATATGAATTTTATGAAAGACATATATTTTGTATTTATTTTAAATGAACCGCTATATTGTTATATCGATCCTTTGTGATAACAAAATTTCACGTTTTTTATTTCTAAAGTTTGACGAATTTTTCTTTTTCACTGAATATATTTATTTGATTCATTTATATTATACTGGTTTTTATCATTGAACAAATTATTCGATTGTAATGATGAGTTATATGAATTTTTTAATTATAAGATCACAATTGTAATGTATTTTCAAATAAAGTGATTTATTGTCATCATCATTTCAATTAACATCATATTGATTCATATAATTTAAATTGTACATAACATAATTTCAATTATAAAATATAATATCAATTAATTCATTAAAATTTATCTAATTTTTCAATAGATTAATGTAAATTTCATTTAATTATAGTTATCATCAAAATATTAATTATTATTTAATTACTATTTACTAAATATTATTTGATGCATAATCTAGGCAAGAAGCTTATATATTTATTATAAATATAAGAGTCGTCTCGTTTGAATGTTTTAACGCTCTAATTTCCATTCATTGCGATCTATAATATATTTTATCAATTTACTATATTATTTAATTATGTGAAGTATATATTTATATATTTTAGATTCAATACACGTATAAATATTTAATAAAATATATCTCTTAATTATAAATATTTTATATTTAACGTACAATATTTAGAAAAAAATAAGCAAATATAATTAACGTGAAGTTGCTGTATTAAATAATCAGTTTTCAGTAAAAGTATTTAACATTTAACAATTGAACTCTATCTAAAAAATATATATGTTTATAAGTAGTTCATAAGGATACTATTACTCTAGTACATTTTTCTTAAAAAATCACATTTTTTAAATCGTAATAATACAACAAAAGCCCTTCAATAGACAATATCATAAAAATAATGCACTTTAGCCTTGTATGTGACTCATAAAACCTACATTGCAATATATGTTCGAAGCAGAAAATAAGTCGTGCGCTCAAAAGATGTATTAAAAAATATTTGAATACGCCTTCTAAAGAATTAAAATCCAAAGGATGAATTGTAATTCATTATTAGTTTCCATCTACAAATATGATGTTTTCTCATAGCTGAGTATATTTATACCACTGCCTTTACTTTTATTTTCATTTCTTTCCGTGAATAGTGAAAGTATACTGGAAATAGAACCAACTAAAGCGCATTAATTAATGACCTCGTATTAAGCAGTACCTTGTATTTTTAAAACTGTATATTAGTACATGTTTTCATTTATTTTTTATATTTGTATATACAGGTACGAAGGCCATTTTGGCGATAGTTTCGGATTGTAAATATAAAAATTACGTTAAAGCAACAATTATTTACTTTATATAATATTTAAAATTAAATTAAATTTTCACTAATTAAAATACGTGAAAGAAATTTATTAAATGAGATATTGGTTCATATTTTTAACTAAAAATTTAATCTATATTACCTTTCGATGATTCAACACTAACGTTTCTAATATTACGTTTATAATTTTGTTGCATTAGAATATTAAAATTCTTTCACAAATTCATTGGAATTATATTAAATTACTAAATTTGTCTAGAAGAATATTAAGATTTTAATTAAATAAAATATTTGTTAATACGTAGAAACTAATAAACTACCAATTCTAAGTTGTTAATTATGCGAATTACCTAATTATATTATTTTTTTGTAATACATCGCTCTTTTATATCATTATAAAAAGTATTTATTTCATTATTAAAAATGTGTTATCAATTAATAAATAGGTACTAAATATATTTAGCATTAAAAACAGAAAAATCGATTACGAAACACATTTCATAACTATTCTGCTTGAAATAACTTTTTGTTTTCTTTCTTTACATCGAATAAAAAGAATTCATTTGCCAATGTTTTTGTAAATACAAAATTTATAAAATTCCAAATAAATAAAAATTTGTTTACATTATTTTTGTACATTTTGGTCTGAAACTTATTCTTTATTTACATTGAAATAATTAATTATAATTTCAATACAATTCAAAATATATAAAAAAATATCTTGATATAATAATAAAATTTCAACTAATAATATATTTAAAAATATTACTTATTAAATAACATTGCATTTTATTTAATACATTTATTACACTTGATAGTGTTAGTTTAACTTATCCTTTATTTACAGAAATTACTGGCCAATTGTATTACAACTATTTAGGGCTGATCATGTACCTGCGCCGGGCGGTAATGCAGCTAATGCCAACTCCAAAAGGAACACGAAGTTGACGATGGTTGCAGTTTGGCACTGGACGTAGTAGACGTATGTTACGGCTACCCAAAGCATCGCAAGGCACGCGTTACTTCCAACTGATATCAATGATAATCTTTGAACGGCCGTTAAGTAGTGCTACGCATGCGCTTCTTTCACTCACTCCTACTTGCCTAGCGATCGATTCCTCTTTTAACGAGAGGTCCGCTGAGTATTCTGAGAAAATATTTCTCTACGAGTATTTTCAATCGATTTTCTCAAAAAAATCACTTTTGTAAAAAATCCGTCATGTTAGTTATCTCCTTGAGAAAAAGTGAAAACAAAAAGAGATGAATAATATCGGTAGAAAACCATAGTTAATTTAATAAATTGTACTGCTAATTGCATTGGAAATTCATGATAGTAGACTGCAATAATATGATTAATAAAAATGATTAGATAAAGAGAGAAGCATCAATTTGATAGTGAGTTACGTTTTAAAATAGTAATGTTACTGTATTTGCAAAAAAATTAGTTTCATTTACATTACGTAACACGATATACTGGGTATATGAACATCAAGTACGCACATGCACGTGCGCACAAATATTTATATTTATTGTGATAATATGGAAAATGATTATCTATATGACACCTATACATTAATTTAAAGATTCAGAAACTTGATCGATTCTTTATCAAAATAGTTATTTCTAGAAATTTTTAAATAATAGAAAAATACTGTTTTACAAATATTAAAGTCAGTTTGAATTTTACAAAAAATTGCATTAATTTTTTTATAAAAGATAAACTATAGATTTTATAATATATATTTTTTAATTAAATATCTATAATATAAAGTTTAAAGAAAAGATTTATTTCACATATATTTTTCAAGTAAAGAGATAGAATAAGAAAATTCAGAAAGAGTATGTAATAGATTTATATATTTTTATTATTACTGTTTAATTTTATAGCAAATGCAATAACGCAAATGAATTTTTAAATTTAAACAAATTTTTGAAAAAAATTAAAATTTTTGGTATTTTTTTGTACATCGTGAAATTTATTTTGAGCGGTGACAAAATTCAAGTTGAAATAGAAATGATATTATAAACACTTCCTATTTCTAATTCAATATTTAATATTAGATGATATGATTATTTTTATTAATATTACTACGTTAAATATCACATAATATTAAATAATCGAATAGGTTTAAATTTGAATTTGAATTATGCTTATGTCTAAAATTACGATAGAATTATTGATTGTTCATTATATGACTTGCTTTTATATTATTTATAATGATATAACAATATAACGATAATGCTTTTATGTTATTATATGATATATATATGATAACTTTTTATAAGATTTTAATAAAATATTAATATAATATTAAAATAACAATAAATAGTAGTGGTAGTGGTAGTGGTAGCATGAACAGCAGCAACAATAATAGCAGCAGTAGCAGCAGGAACAGCAGCAGTAATTCATATTAAAAATGATAATTGAAATAATTAAAATAATAATTATAATAGAGATAATAATTCTTGATACATAAATATTATATGGACGCTGTCCTAACAGTTCGTAGAATGACTAATATTTGAATAAGACAATAATATTTTAAAAAGACAATTGACGCAATACAATACAACCATTGCATATTATATGATACGTTATAACCAATATTTTTGTAATTATAATCTTTATGCTTAAGATCTTATGTTTTCTTCTCTTCTCAATGATATTAATATACTCAATAAATATACTCAATTTAGGTACTCATATAAGTTGATACACAGATTTTTTTATATACAAACAGTACAGATTAATTGTACAAATGATTTTCCAGTCTACATAATTTTAAAATTAAATTCTTTTATTAGATTTCATCTTATCCACATTGTTTTCAAAACATATGAAAAATAATAATTTTCAAATTATAAGTCTGTGAATAAGGCTACAAGATAAATTTTAGCATCTTTGTTTTTCTACACTTAATCAGTTAAAAATATTTGTATAAAATTCGGTATAAAAATTCTCTATTTTTTAGTTTATAAATTAACTTCATCTCCATTATAGTATTTTTATTTCCATTTCGTACATTTTTCATGCTTTACTCATTTTAAAATCGCACGCACATTAAACAAATGACATTTTAACCAAGACATATATTTTCAATGAGATCAAATACTGTACGAATTTATTATTAGGTTTATAATTGTTTAAAAAATTACGCAGAAATAGTTTACCGGAATACATAAACATGTATTTATAAAATGTAAAGAATCTATTAAATCATTTTTCATAATTTTAATACATTCGGCATTCGAATTAACATTATGTTGATGTTTAAATAAAAATCGATATCTTTATAAAGGAGTTTATAAGACATTTACCTTTCATCGGTAATTTATGGCTTATTCGTTAATTTTTTTCTTAATTGAAATATAAATAAATTAGTCTCACAAATTTACTTTTTTAAAAGTACCTTAGATTATTCAGACTATATTGAATCATTTTTTAAAAAGACAGACCAGCTGCTCGGTGGATTTTTAACCCTATGCTATGATTACTTATTTATTTATTAACTTTTGTATAGAATAACGATTTATTAAACAATTTATTAAAAATGAAAATCCATATTTAAATTTCTGACGTTTATGTATTTTAATCATGCATGGCACCTGACTTTTTTTTACATTACACAAGACTCTGGTAACCATGAATATTAAAGATTCACTTTTTAAATAGAGATTTTATTTTAACTAAAAACTTTAAAAATCAGAAATTAAAAAGTTCGTATTACTTACATACGTGTACTGAATTCCAATTGAGCCTCATTTAAGTCTCATTATGAGTCTTTATTCTTTCGAGTAATTTGATCCCGAAGATGAATTAGAAAAGCGATTAGCAAGGATTCTTTCCTTTTATCTAAAACGCCTATTTTATTCTATCTCTTGCTCTGTCACTAAAAGAAAGTTTTTAAATAAACAAAAAACTTATCATATTCGTAAAATAGTATAACAGTTTAAAATTTATTAAATGTTGATCATTTTTGCAATCGTATATAGTTTTTTCAAATTTTTATTGAATGTAGTAATATTTCTTTATGAAAATAATTATACAGATGAAAAATGTATTTATCAGTAATTTTATGATATAAGTAAAATTATTATTTTTTTTTTTTTAATAAAAATCATGGTTTCTAATCTTTATAATTGAACATAATTTTTATATTATTACATTATTAATTAATAATACAGTTCGATACACCCGCATAGAAAATTATACTTGTATATGTAATTATCAATTAATTACATTTTTTTATTGTAAGTAATTCTAACAGTATCGTCTAAAAGAGATAAGTTTTTAATGACATATTTATTACAGCCTTTTTACATTTTTTAAAAATAATGCTAAAATATATTCCTTTGATAAAAATGATATCATTTATAAAGGCACAGTGGCAATCGTACGATTCAATAATTAAAATTTAAAATGTTTTTCGCGCAACAGCCGAAAGGAATATTGTTTATATAATTTCAGATCTCTTAAAATATAATGCCAGCTATTACACTTTTCCAATATTTATTTCTGTACTATTTACTTATTTCAAATTTTACTATTCTACGCCTCTCGAATATTGACATAATCGTTTTAAAATTCATTCTTTTTGTAGTTTCAAGTTCGCATTTTAAATTCACTTTACCTTAAAAAAAATAATAAAAAAATAAAAAAACTCTTATGGCCTCTTTATAAAAAATAATTTTCCGAAAATGTGAAGAAAGATAAGTTTATAAAATCTACAAGCCAGTCAAACAAAGCTCATTATATCTAATTGACTGGATAATACTACGTTCTCCCTACATTTCTGCAAAGTATTTTCAGGCTGCTTAATTGATTTAATAATTCTGGAATTTATTTTTAAAATAATACAAATCATATACTTGAAAGTACAAAAAATTGTTAGCGTGATGATTTGCGTGTATATATACTTATATATAAATAAAAAGATTTAGTTACAATTTTGATTCTTATCATTTTGTTACCATATAAATACTTGCATTAAGATTTAAAGAATACAAGTACAAGACTCTATTATGTCCATTCCTTTACATATTTGATTAGAATGAGAGTTGCAATAATGCTGTTAGCACAGTATACCAATTTAATGTTAAAGAATCATCTTTAAATGTGATTTTCAACGATATTACTATTCCAATTTCAATAGATAAAGTTTAAGGTTCTATCTGTTATTATAACTCCAATTATAACTACATTGATTGCATTACGCAATTAACATGAGTTTCTTTATAATTTGATTCAAGCGAGAGATACTTTCTTTGGTGGCATATTCTTCAATAGTTAAAAAATTGTTGATTAAAACAAACAACAATTATAAGTAATATTTAATTTTTATGAAGTGTTTATATTATTTTACGATTTGTAGCAGTAAATTTCATGTATTATAATAATCAATAGTTAAAAGAATGATTTATTAAAGATTGCAATCAATTCAAAGTTTAAAAGTTTTAAATATTTGAAAAAATATGTTGGTATTTTTAATTAATATTTTATATTTAACTAGCTTAAGAGATAGTTTGAATTTAGCTATAAAACAGAAATTTTAAAACGCATAATCAATTCTTCCATAACTATTTGAAGTACAATATCGTCAATTAAGAGTTTGAAACAACTTGAACATCATACGATTAACATACTCGCACGATTAACAGCTGACTGTATGTTTTTTTCAAACTTCGACTCCGAGCACTCTATCGACAACATATTCGTACCTCTTCGGTTCGCCGTCCTCTTCTCCAGTCACTTTCTGTCCACCGACTATTTGTGGTTCACTTTTAATCACATCCCTTAAAATCTTGCTACTTCTGTCACTATTTGTTGCGATGCTCGTATTAATGATGGTTGGAACTTTAATGATAGTGGTAGTCGAAGGTCCACTGATTTTACGACTAACATGATTGTGTACTGCACCGCTTCTACTAAAACTTGTCTTCACCGGTTCAGAAGCATATCTACGATGGTCTTGACCAAGTACTAAGTTTCTTTCCAATGTTAACTCATCGGCTGGAAGTACTGGTACATTTAAGTTTACTCGTGTAAAGAAAGCCATTTTCTCTCTATAAATAAACGAGAAAAGTTGATTTTAATGCTATATATTTTTAGTTCCTTTATAACACATTCAAGTATTTTAATAATAACAATAATTATTAGTTTCGCTTCCTAAGTCTTTGAAATTAAATCTCATTTGCATGGATAAAAAGTTAAGGACTTACTTAAAAGATATGATATCTGGTTTGCCTTTGCCAGCTTTTGTCTTCCTAAGCTTATAAATCTCTTTGCTAGTCTTCCTCAGCATTTTCTCAACCTTTTTATCCTCAAGGCTCTTGCCGTTTTTGCCGTTCTCGGCCTGTTGCATAAGTACTTGAAACTTGTCGTCCTCGAGAAGCCAACTAGCCATGTCAACATCACCTTTTTCGCGTGCTTGCTCGAGCCTCTGTTTGAGTTCGCGTAACCTGTTGAGCTCGTCGTGCAGGTTAGTAAGTCGCGCGTGTTGCGCTTGCAGATCTAGCTCGAGGTCAAGGGAGGTGCGCGTCGTCGCCGAAAAGTGGTTCGACCTGGATTTCGATGACGAAGAAGGTAACTTGCAGTTAAGAACAGATGACGGACGCCTCCAGCGCAATGAGCGCCGCTCTACTGAATTTCGTTGGAAAGGGCCACCGCGACGGTACAGTGGCATACTGCTATCGCTATCACTACGGTTCAACTGTGAACAAGATACAGTTATATATATATATACAGACACACACATACAGACACACAAAAACAATAATACGATATATTTGTTAATTTAGTTCAAATTGGTATTTTATTGCTATTATTTATATTTTATCATTAATGCCGTAATTGTATCATATACATGTTTATTATTCTCTGTAATAAAACCGTAAAGGATATTTACTCGACAGATGTAATGATTTCTGCTGACTGCTGCACTTGGTGAAAAAGTCTGGCTTCTTTTGATCACAATGGAGTTTTTATCGTCGTGTACTGCACCAGGTACGACTCCTGCCGCCGAAAGCTTCCTTTGCTTGCCCTGCTCTGGAATAAAAACACATTCAGTGTTTGTTTCCTTATCTAAGGTGCGATTTGCTACCGCTACTGTTGTTTTCTCTTCAATCAGCTCTTCATCCTCCTGAAACAATTTTTTAACGAAATAATTCTCATTGATATTAAGTTTCTTCTAAACGAATAGTTGGAAAATATAAAACGGTAAAATGCATACATTTTAAATTAGAAATAATCAACAAGCTATGTAATAAATAAATAAATATATATATAACTGATTTGACCGATTTAAAATGATAGATGGTTTAAAGAGCACCATATAGTAAATTTTATACTGATTTACTTTCTTTTACAATATGAAATATTTAATTATAACATGCGTTTATAATATAGTAACATACATGCTATATTAAATAAGATAAATGCAAAATATACCTCGTGCTCTAATACATCTTCAAGGATATTTTCTTCAATCATAAACTCAACAATAATGCCTTCCTCATCGCTGTCCTCACTTTCACCGCTTTCACTTTCACTTTCACCAACCCCCTCCTCTTCTTCCTCAGGACTCTTGAGGCAATTGGCAAGCTCTTCAAGCCTCAATGAAACCGCGGTTTGGAGCTCTTCGCAACCCTGATTACGCGTCAGGGTCGATGTTTGCGAACTTATAATTGTGCTTTCGTCGCTGCTTTCTTCTTTGGTGTTCTGTACGCTGCTGCTCTGACTGCCACTTCGATACATCGAGATATCTGATTCTTGTTTATCGTGCCTTGTCAACAACTGTTGCTGTGAATTTGATAACGACTGCGAGGGCCGAGAGTCACTGTCAGCTGAATGCTGCATAAAACGAAATGATAAGATGTTGTACCATTTTACGCTCGGTGTCTCTGGATTAAAGTCTGCCAGGGAAACTTGAGCTGAACCCTACAAGAATATTTTTGTGTTCATTGGATTTTCTGTTTATATCTGTTTTCTTTTTTTATTTGACAAAATTTATTTAGATAAAAATAAGTTATTGCTAATAAACAACGTTTTAATAAATATTAAACTTACTAAGCATTCCTCGGACTCTTCATTAGTACACCACACATTGACTTGTAATGTTTTTGTATATAGTTTATTTAATGGTACGGCAATGGGGAATGCTTCGCCAAAAGTGGGCTTACGTAAATCCACAACTGGTTTCGTACAGCATACATGATTTACTGATAGTTGCATCGGTAACAAAGCTGCTTTTATATATCTGCAAATATTATGAAATACATATTTTAACATATTTAAAATTTATATATATATTACTGCTCTTACAAACTCAACTTATTATCTGAAAACTTAATATATTGATTTTAATGTTACTATTTAAATGAAAGAGAATAATTGTAATTTAATATAAATTCATCTTAAATAATTAAAAATTAAGAAACATTATTTCTATAGTTTTAAACATAATATATTAACATTATAAATCATATATTATTAAAAAAAATTTAATTTATTTAAACAATTAATTGTAAAGAATATGGAAAACTTTAATTCTATAATTTACTCAGCAATAAAATTGTAGATATATTTTTTAATTATATGCCAAACATATTAAATAATAATAAATTATTTAATAAATTAGTTATGCTTTTATGGTAGATTCTTAAAAATTATTTTACTTTATATCATAATGTATTGATAGTTTAAACTCCATTTAAAATACAACACAATTCGAACATATAATGCAAATCATTAAATAAATCAAAATCTATTACGATAAAGAAATTGATCAAAGAAGTCGGAAATTGAAGTCAAGCTATTATTATTGTCTGATATTACTAGGACTCACAAGTAAATTAATCCACTCTAAACTAAGTTACTTACACTTGCATGCTTTCGGGAATTAAGAGGGCGCCAAGATTTCTTGCACGTTCGATACCGATGTGAAGGAGTCCGTCGCTAACTGAATATCTGTAAACGAAGAAAATATTCTTGATAACAATAAATAAAATTCATTAATTAAATAGAATTTTATTGTTTAATTGCTGAGTTACAATTTTTTAATTATTTATATCTGATTATTAAAAAATGTAAATATAATTTACAAATTTATAAAATATTAAATAAATGATCTTGGAATTGCTTTTTAAAGATAATTCAAAGTTTCTCGATTTAAATGAGTTTAATTGATGAAAAACATGTTTATAAAAATTGGTGATACAATTATTAATTGCATTCTTTATGATTTTTTAAATTCTATTAACAGCTTATTTAATTGATTTGAAATGTTTTTAGAGAAATCAATAAACATTCATTAACAGTTGATTAATATTTATTAAGGGGTAATTATATAAATAGTTATTTAATTTAGTATCTACATCTTTTGAAGTTCTTTGCAAATCCTTCACATTTATTAAAAAATATATTATAAATTATAAAACATTTTTAATACGTTTTATTTAATATTACCACAGATATCTTTTATTCCAAAAGAATTACTTTTTTTATTTATTTAAGTCAAAGAAATTTGTAGTTAAGTAAACTATGTATTTATTTTATTGTTATGAATCGAATTCTCAATTTGTTTGTAATAGTAAATTATAATTATAGAAATTAAAATGTTAATAAATCGCCTATTTTTTGTTGAAATAATTTACTTAATATATACTAAAATACTACATATCAGACTTACCTAAGTTTAATTTGGACTTGAGCGGTTTCAAAGTTGACGTCACTTGTAATAACAGTCTCGGGACCCACTATCCCACAAAACCTCCTGTTGGAAGCCTCAAATACGCCAGAATCTCCGGCGACACTTTCGTCAGACACAGCTGCCGACACAGAACGCGTGTTTGTGCCCGACGAGCTCGCACGTGAGCATATGCCCGTCGGGGGTGGTGTCTCACTTATAGGAGACAATGGTGGCTCCTGTGTCAATCCTATGATGGTAAGGAATAGAAATCTTTGTACAATGGGTTTCATTTATAAGATATTTAACATATGCTTTGATATTGGATTTCGCCTTTTTTTCTTATTAAATTTTACATGTAAAAACAGGTTTTAGTTTAAATTTTCAAATATTTTTTTAATTAATAAAATACAGTAATTTCAAGAGTTTACTGTTTTATAAGTGACAATTGAGAAAGAAATTGAAAGTTAAAACCAACCAATAAGGGCCGGCCTGCCAAGTCCACTACCCTGCGACATGTTACATGATTGTAGATCTATGGGTGATAGGAGAGTGTGTTTAGGTTGTTGTTGGAGTAATTGCTGATGGTGCTGCTGTTGAGGCTGATTTGGATGATGCTGATTATACTCGACACTAGAGCATTGTTGCTCTTGGATTGTTTGCTGACTTAGTCGTAGCTCTACAAGCTTATCTTCCAATTGCGTTCTGTCAAGATGCGTTGACGTTATTGAGGAAAGGAGACGCTGCTGCTGTCGACGTTGCAATTCAATCTGCTCATAGGCCGGCGGTGGACCAATCTACGAACGCAATTTGTAACTTAAATTTTTTTATCTTTATTAGATTATAATTGATAATATTTTAATATATAATTTAATGGATCGTATCGCAAAATTTTTATAATTATAAAAATTATTGTCTTTTTAGATAAACTGGTTAATATTAAAAGAATTAATTAAGGTAATATTATTAATTTAAATAATAATGTTAATAATGCAAAATTATATAATTCATTGGAATTAGTATGTAGTAGTAAAATATATGATATAGAATATAATCATTTTTAAGGATTTGGCTCATTTTTAACCCAAATTTATTTGGTTTTTATTCTTTTTTATTTAAACCACACCATAAAATATAAAGAATATTATTCAATAGTGGTAATATATGAACAAAATTATAACCATGAATTATTAGGTGCATTGCTGAGTATTTTATATTTAGGAAGTATAAACATTAAAAATTTTAAATATGCTCTTTGTAAAGTTACAATTTAAAAATTTATTAACAACAGATCAGCAATGGTTTCAATCTAATTCAATTTCAATTTTAAAATTTCGTTGAAATTAAAATTCTCAAAATATCTTTATAATTTATTTTGTGTTTAAAAGTTATCAATTGTAAAAATAATATCGAATTTCATGAAACAAATAAATCACGAATAAAAGCGTTTAATATTAAAAACAAATGTTTAATACTCACACTTAATTTAATCACAAATTTTGTATAATTAATTATAATTGTTTCTTAAATTTAATCAAAGAGAATTTATATTAGACATAATGCAATGAATATAAAAAATCCGTTTTTTTATTCTAACAAGTTATTCACTAATTTGTTAAATATTGAAATTAAGAAATTTTACTATATATTTTAACAAAGTAATGTAAAATATATTTGTACTGTATTTTGTATGTAGTTTTGATACAAATAACATTTGAACATACTAAATTTTAAGTAATTTATTATCATTCAAAAAATTCTTGGTATACCTTAATAAACTAAGCTGATAAAGAAAAAAATGAAAAAATGTTCAAATCTAATATAAAATATTTTATCAATAATATTATTATAATTTGTAATACAATAATTAAAATACATATGCGGTTGAAAAAAAAATATATATTTGCAATGTTAGAAAGTGATTTATTCAAGGAAGTTTTTTTTTTGCTAATAGAATTTCATTAATAAACAAACACATTTTAAATAAAATAAAAATTTATATGGAAATAACCAAACCTAAACAAATTGCATACAAAAACGGACAAACTTACTGGTGCGTTTTCATAGAGAGGCGAGACTGGAGGCGATACGCTTGACAAACTGGATCTGGGCGAGAGGCTAGGCTGGGACCTGCCGGGTGAGGGTGTGCCGAGGTTGTTGCCAACAGTAATGCTTTGCTCAGAACCCTTGAGTAACCTTTCAACGCGTCGATGGAGATCGACCATATCGACAGGTCGTTCTTGCTGTGCTGTACCCATGTATTGAGGTCCACCATAGATGTCGGTGAAACTCAGCCCTGAACTCAGCGAACCCTTACTACTAGTCGTGCTGAGGCTGCCTAAACTCGAGCTGCTACTGACCGACAACGTGCTCGCCGACAGACTCTTCAACTGATTTTCGAGCATCGCCATCGATCTACAGATACGGATTAAAGAAATTTTTTGTAGAATAATAACTCTTTGCAAGAAATTATAGCGTGATACGAACGTTATTATCATACAGATTTTATTACGATTATAATTTGTAACAGACATAATATACTATCTACAGAGTAGTTAAGTATCCATAATTAATGCGAATATGTAATAATTTTGGCGATTTCATATACCAGCAGTACTATTCATACCGATAAGGATACATTTATCATGTCGTTTATTAGTACTATCAATATATTTTAAAACAGAATTGCTAATATTACATATTACATATTTTAAAATAAACAATAATTATTACAATTAAATTTAGGTATTTATTATAATATTTTACATGATAATTACTTTAGTATGAAATAGGGGAGAATAAATGTAAAAAAGAATAGAAAAAATTCAGGTCAATATTTGATAATAATTATTTATTACTAACTTGAGTGCATCTCTGAGCTGCTGCAGCAGTAGTTGCTTTTCCTCATGGAGCCTAACACGGTCTGTTATAGTTTTGTTGGAAAGCTCAAAGGCATTGTTGAGGTCTTGCTCTAACCTACGTATCTCAGATTGAATTTTTTTCATGTCCTGATGTGTTCTTGTATGAGGAGTTATACTGCGCAATTCGCGCAATAGTTGTTCCTTCTCTTGAAACAATAACAGCTTGTCCTTGTCGCTTTCCGTCTGTCCAGGTATTACCTATAATGTAAATCGAACCTGTTTAATACTTATTCTTATTTAATGAACAACACCTTCTGTAGTTTCGCTATTAACGTACTTTCTATTTTTCCCTTCATTCTACGTTTTTCTTTTTCAAAGGAATATTCGTAAATATTAAACAATTAAGAATATATTTTTTAAATATTATGACTTACGTCTATGGCTTTTTTTTGAATATCACTTAATTAATTTCAAGAAGCTTATTTAACAATTGTCATTTATAATCGAATGATTCGAATTATTTTATATAATTTCTTTGATACGAATTTAATTAATTTAGGCTGATTTATTATTAATCATTCTTGAAATAACTATAGTTCACATTAAAAAAAATTACATAAATTATATTTGTAGTTAAAATAGATAAATTAGAAAAGTCTAACCGAAATTGACACAAAATCATAAAGCCCCTTTCATCAATATTCAAAATAAATAGAATTTTGCTACAATTCGAATCACTAATAAATGTTGAAATATGAAAGAATTATTATTTCAAAGAGGAAGTACGTGTAATATTAGTTAGATGGTCTAAATGATTCTTTGAGCAATGTCTGAAAATGCCGGAAATATAAACGAAAGAAAAGAGGGAATAAAATAATAAGTATTTAGTAAACGCTAACCTTCTCCTCAAGATCAGCAAGTTGTTGCTGAATAAGCTGGATGCGCTTCCGGGCTTCATCATACTGCAGCCTCATTCTAGCCATCTCGGCAAGTCTTGTACCTATGGGTACAAGTTCACCTGATAGATCGGTCTGTGAAGCAGTACTCAGCTTTTCTTGAGGCAAACTCAAGGTACTTGCTTCGGGGCTGCCCTCGCACAACTGCAGCCTTGTAAGCTCATCTTTCAACTGTGCTAGTGACTGCATGAGTTCGGCCTTTTCTTTCTCTCCTGAGCTCAAACTCTTTTGAATATTCCGCAACTCCGTCATTATCGCCTGGGCTTCTGTTATGTTGTAGCAGCCTGCATGGTGCGAACTCAACTTTTGTTCCACGCTGCTCGTAGCATTTGTTTTAAATTAGAAATTAATGAAACAGTACGATCGGAAAACCGATCAAATATTTGTAAACATTTTTCATATGTACTTATTTGAAAATACTTTATTAATCAAATACTTGGAAACAACTTTACAGTTTGTTTGGAAAGTAGATTATGTTTAAAGTATAAATATAGAATACAGAAAGTAGAGTATGCTTAATAATGAATGCTTATTTTAGAAAAATTAGATACTTATATATAGTAGTGATCATAGTAGTTTTAAAATCTTGGTTTATATTTTTTTTACAATATCATTACATACCAAGTAAATTACTAACTACTGTAAGTAGTAATTTTATTCGTTAAATATATTGATTAAATATGTTGCTAAAAGAGTTTATGGTTATAATATTTCTGTATTATTTTTACAACAGATAATCTTAATTAACCTATAAAATAGTAAAGTATACTTTACATTTATATAATATAATGGTAATATACTATATCATTAAATTAATTATAAAATAAAAAGAAGTATGTAATTTTGGAAGAATGATAACATTTAAACGCTTTCCTTCGATGATAATTTTATTTTCAATAAACAACTTCTTTTTGTTAACTTCGTTTGAAATCACTCATGGATGATTGATCATACATTCTTATTTAATTATTTTTGTAAATATTGAAAACTATTAAGAATTAAATAGAATAAATTTTTTTAAATTATTAAATTTTTGGTTTGTACGTGTTTTTTTTATATGTCAAAGTAAAACTACTGAAAATAAAATTATTATCTTCATAATGTACATATGTTTTATAAAATAAGTACAAATAAGTCAATTTATTATATCAAAATTAAAATCAACATTTGTTCACTACGTATAGTAGACTGCACATGAATTAAGCGAATAAAAATTTAAGAATAAGTATATTGATTCAAGTATCAATATCTTTATATTTGTTGATAATGATAATAGTATTAAAATATCTACAATAGTACAATAGTAATTACATGATAATTTGCACTATGTGCGCAAGCATAACTTTAGTAAATGAGAAGGATATTTATAACAGTGGTGTTTTTATTTGTTTAGTCATTTTAATGCACTAAATTTTCTTCATTTTGCGTGTCCTTTAATATTAAATAATTTTTAATTTGGAGTAAGATGTACATAATACGTTGAGGTTGCAAAAAAATACGTTCAAACTGCAGGAAACTTACCTTGCTAAGGTGTCAACACCGCGCTGCGTACAATTCATTTCCGCACGAATTTGCTCTAGTTCACGCTTTAATCGTGAAACTCGCTTCCTGGCTAGCGCCACATCACATTTCAATAAGTCTGGATCATATTTCGTGCTGAGTGAGCTGGAACTCGAGCAAACTGCAACAATAAGGATAAGCATACTTGTGCGTTCCCGTTCTTTAGTTTCTTTTTGGCCTTTTTCAATTTTGTTTACTCTACGCTCATTTATTAAAAAAAAACAGCAAAGAAATATTAGTTTTAGTTTAAAAAAAAGCGATTGAAACTGGGAGGATAAAATTATATTTATACTGATGTTATAGAGAGCTAGCATATCATTTTTTATGAACCTTTTTCATTTATATATATATTTTTTTTTGTGTCAATTTAAGATATATTTCGAAAAAATTATAATATTTAAATAATTTTTTTATAATTTATACAATTGCATTCTAATTTTATACGGAGCATTACATGTTATCGATTACGAGCCTTGAAATTTTAATAAGAAGCGTCTTTGAATTAGAATTCAGCCACTTCAATTCAGTATTTGACAATACTAAGAGTATTGAAATTATAAATTTACATAACGCAAACAGTTATACATATTTATGCATCAGTTTGTGATGAGAAAAAAAATGCATTTAAAAAAAGATACGGTTACATTAGATAAACGAAATCTGATTTCTACTTAAATACAAGCGTTCCCAAATTTACAATATCGTACGAAAAATAATTTGAATTAATATTTTAACACGGTTCGTTATCAACGCGTGGTTATTTATGAATAGAAATTCACAAATAAAAGTAGTTCTGAGGGAAAAGGTATCTCATTTACATCACAAACATATCGCAGTATATTTTATATAAAAAAAGAATCAAGGAACATTTGAGGATACTCACGGCTGCTACGAGAGGTGCCGAGCGTACTGAGGGCATTGTTCAGATGATTGTACTCATCTTGAGCTAAACATAATCGCTGTTGCTTCACGTCATAGATCTCTTTTTTCGCCTACAATACAAACAATTTATGTTTTACTTTTAATTTGATTTATATTTTTCTTAACTATCCTATTTTATTGACATTTTATTTTTAATTGTTTTCTTCCTGTATTTAATCAGACATTAATAATAATAACAAATCTTGATTATAAATAAGTAGTTATGTTTAATTTCTCTTATTGAATAACATAGATTAATTTTTTTTTTAATATTGATATTTTACATTTATTAATCTTCAGAAAAGAAATTAATTTTTATGCAGTCTTATATGGTTCATATATCTAAAATTTAAAAATATAAAAGACTTTTAAAAAATTTCAATATGTATTCTCTTTTGAGAGGTACTCAGCTATTCGAGTAGCTAAATCGCACCATTTAAATATCTGCAGAAGAACTCCTCTGAACCTTATTTGTATATAGATTTATCTCGCAGATAGATTGATAAATTATTATTTCTAGTTTGATTCATATTTATTCATTTAACATTCTATTTATTTTAAACACTATATTAAAGGTGAAAATATTAGTGTTTGTGTTTATGACGTATTATTTTCTATTCAAATAATAATTTAAAATGAGTAACGTATATAATATGTTAATTTTTAACACATTTAACTACATTAAACGGGGCTTTTATCGATTTAAAATAGGTTTTTATTTTTTAACTTAACATTGAATACGTTTTATTTTTAGTGAACATTCATTCAGCATAATTAGCAGCAATGAAATAAAATTTTTATTGCAGATATCACTATTTTCTATATTTTATTAACATTAAATATTAAATGATTAATTTGACATTGTTATTCTAATTTAAATCCTATTTACATAATTTTTATTGAAAATTATTTTGAATTTGGATTTTTCTAATAGTTTAAAAACAAAAACGCATTTTACATGGCACTATTATTAAATTTATTATTAATTTTATTATTAAATTTCATCAGCTGTTGGAATTTACAATTTTTCAAATTAAATTTATAACAAAGAATAAGAAAATACTTTCTCTATTCAAACAAAACATATTAGACTATTATAAATAATTAAGCCAATTCTTATAGCTTATCATTGAGCTTGATAATTAAGAATACATTAAAAAAAGTGGGGATATCAATAAATTAAATTTATTCTATAAATTTATATTATATATAATAAATTCATTAATACTAAAGTTTTATCAAGCTCTAGTTTTTTAATGTATTGTAGTCTTTTAGGATTTTTTCTAATGTTCTTTTTATTTTTTTTTTTAAACTAAAGAATATAAATAATAAAATCAATTATTTAATAATATATTCATTAATTTCGTTTGATTTTGGATCATAAATGCAATAATAACAAGTACTAAAAATAAGACTATATATATATAGTAATATTTCAGATAATTAAAATATATTTTATCACATTGTTAAAAATTAATATTTTGACTAAAAATAATTTGTATCAATATTTTAATAATCATGTATGTGTGTGTGTGTGTGTGTGCGTGTGAATGCAATTTTGCTTCAAAATAGAAAAAACAATTATTTAAACAAAATTTATTTTTATGTTTATATTTTATAATTGAAAATTATCAATTAATAAAACATTTATATATTTTTTTAATTGTGAGCACATTGCAGTAAGATTATTTTGTATTTTAAAATTTTTAAATGAATTTTCAGAATTTGACTATGAATAGCAGCATTTTGAACTGCGATAATTATTTTTTCATATACTTTTCTTATTTCTGATATTGTTGTATTTCCCGTGCCTTACAAATTATTCGGCTATCAGTATTATTTCCGAAGCCTATGCTAGAATTTGAAGTTAATTCAATATTTTATACGGAGTTATTTTTCATGTTTGAATTTTTCTACTCTAAGATTTAGGGTGATATATATAATTTAATTTTTATTATATATAATATATAATTATATATAATAATTTTATTGATTTTATATACGCTAATTATGAAAAAGTCATAAAGAAGCAAAAATACGAAAGTGAGAGAGAAAATATAATATTTAAAATTCAAAGATATCGTAATAGTTAAAATTAATGTCAATAAAGTACAATTAATTATTAGTATTCGATGCCTCTAAAAAAAAAATAATTGTTGAAGTATTATCGAAAACAGTAATTAAAATCCGGGGGTAAATAAGAAAATTAAAACGGAAATTAATGTTAGCCTGGCACACCTAAATTGTAGAGTCCTATAAAAATTATTGATTTATATGATCACGCATATACGCTGTGACGAAAAGAGCGTCTCTCGAATTTCATGAAATAACTTCTCGCCACATCACAGTACAGAAACACCAAAAAAAACTTCAAGGATTCATCGACAATTGCAGCGAAACGCATCGATAATCCAACGAAAGAAAAAGAGAGGTAGAAGGACGGGAAAAACGGGGAAGGGATGGCAAAGGGAAGAAGGGAAGCAAAGAGAGGAAGCAGCATTCCATGCGTCTCTCCCTATTTAGCTGTGCATGGACTGAGAGCTCGAGAAAAGTCGTTCCGCGGATCCTTGTTACTGTAGCATCACTTCAAAGTCAAAACGGAATTCAACGAGAGTATTTCGCTATTGCTTTTATTTCTTATTATTGACTTGTTTTTGTTTTTGTATATTTTTTCATAAGTTTTTATATTGTTAAAGCAACTCTTTTTTGTATAAAATTTCCAACTGAACTATCATTAATTGTTTTCCTAAGATACTTATGGATCTTAAAATATTTAAAAATTGCCGTTTTCCTTATTTATTCTAGTATACGATATTTTGAAAAAAAAATGGAATTAAATGAGAATCTGCAATGTTCTGCTTAAAAATATACGGAAATACAAAGATTTTAAAATAATGTTTTTTAAACATAAAATTTTGATTTACTCTTTCTAGAAATACATATTGTTACTCACCTAACCAATACTTATTTTGTATTGATTTTAGTTTTATTCATAAGCAAAATAAATTAAAGAATTATCTATTTTATTTTTAAATTGGATATTTGGATAAAAAAACTTGGGATTTTAATTTTGCAGTTCACTCTTTTATTCGTAACAAAAGACAAGTTAGTAATATTAAAGAACTTTAAGATTTTACAAAAACTTTCTTATACGTGTTTTATAGAAACCCGATCTAATCCATATTTTTACAATTAGAATAAGAATATGAATGTATGTTTTTATTTATGGTGAGCTTCATTGACAAATTTATTCGTAATGAACTACTTCTTCACATTCATATTTATTTTTTATTTAAATTTATAATGTATTGATAATAAGAAAAAAGAAAAAAGTTTTTCAATTAAAATAGCTAATTAAGTATTGCATATAATTTTCATTTTTAATTTAAATTTATCCTCGTTCATTGAAAGAATACGATTTGATTTTATGAAATTAGCTGTTACTTTTTAATTAATATATTTTAATTACTTTTATGCACATATCAAAATTATATAAAATACGTTACCATATAATTAATCATTTTAATTACTTTAATAAAGTAATTTAATGTCTGGATCAGCGCATGTTATTTAACTTAATATCTTTAAAAATATAAGTATACATACTTTTCATATAATTTTCATTTCTATAAATTGATGTACCAATTTTTTTTCTTTTACAATATTTACAGATATATTAATTATAATTTTATCGAAATATTACATATAAATATTCAATTTTAGAATACTCAAATAAGTATATCGATTACTTGTATTGATTGAATTTACAGCAGATTAATAATTCATCTTAACAATTACTTCATCTATTACATTTAGAATTTTTCTTATTACAACATTATTTTATATTAATGAACATTTTTAATTCATATTACTTATGTATGTTTGATTTAAAAAAATTTTTTTTAACAAGTAAATGAATTTTAAATTCTTTAATAAATTTACATTATACTTAATTAAAATTAAAGTATGTTTGCAATTGAATAATAGAATAAAATATCTAACTGAACTTTAAAGAATACAATTGATATAGTTTACTTTTTAAAGCAATAATATTTTGGCTATTTAAATGATATTAATATAATATCAATGTTAACAGGGAATACAAAAATGGTAATTAAACAATTATAAAAATGCTAAAAATGCAATTTTACTTAGAAATAATATTTATGTTGCATTTTTTATTTTTATTTTTACAAACATTTTCCATAAATACTTTAATATTTTACTTTTTATATATACAATTAGTCAATTTAATTTTTCATATATATTGTCATATATATAACATAATAAACTGAATATTTAATTAATTTTAATATATTTAATAACAAATAAAATAAGATATACTAATTTGAAATAATAGATCTATGTAAATAATTTTAATTATTATTATTGTTATCAATATTACTATTATAATTATTTTAATTATATTTCCAAACGTCGTAAAGCAAAATAATACATTATTAAATATAATTATTCCATATTTTAGTAAGATTTGACAAACCTTTATGCTACATAAATTATAGAAACAATAATTGGATAAATCAATATTAGTTTCATTTCAAGGAATTTCAAATTAAATATATTAATATAATAAACTAATAATAATTATTCAAGAAAATACTGTATTAGGTAAAATATATAATAATGTACTTCATTATATATAAGTAATAATATAAATTCTTATAATAATAATTACACTTTCAATTTGTTATAATTAATAAATACTGCGCATATTACGATCGTAATAATTTGTAGTATAAAATCATATACCGTCTAAAATCAGTCAAATGTTCGTACATATTTCAAAATTATTTTCTATAGTAACAAATATTTTTTTAATTCATTTTAAAAGACAAGTATATTCTCATAAATAAAAATGGTGTTTACATTTAAATTATTATTACATTGCAATTGTTATTTACAATAATACTGTTTCATGAAGCAAACATAATTAATTTTATTTTCCTAAAGAATTTCGTCTCAAAATTTGAAATTTTGTGGTCTAAAATGTATTCTACTTTTATATCAAAGTAAATATTAAATTAAAATAATAAATATTAAGAAATCTTAT